CCTCCCTGGTGTACAGCAAGCACCGACGCTCTGCAACCCACCCGCTTCTCGTTGACGAACCACATGAGCTGGGCGGCCGGCTTTGAGCGTTCTGAGGTGCAGTTGAGGCTGACCCAGCTGCCGGGCCCGTACACTTCATCCTGGCCGCTGATGACCGGGTCATCCTCCGGCAACACTGGCGGCCAACACACAAACACCAACGTTAGCCGCCGAAGGCTCAACATCACGACACTCAACCACAGTGTCGCGGTGTATGTTGGCAGCACGCGGAACTGAGGATCGCCACGGAGGTGGGCTTTTGCGGGCGGGTAGGTGGCGATGGAGAGGAGAGCGCCGACTCCATGCACAGCGGTGAGCGCAGCGAAATAGGTGGGCGCTGCGGCAATATTCGCCTCGCTGACAGGCCAATGAATATCGCCGGAAAGTGGATTATTTGGCCTTGAACAGCTTCAGTTGGGTTTTCTGGGTACGAGTTCCCCACTGCAGGGTTTGACCCAAGACCCGCAGAACCCGGTCCCACGGCCGCGCGTGCCGCCGAAGCTCGGTCGGGAGCACCTCCGGAGGCGGCGGCTTTGATGTGGCCCCGTACACAGATCGGCCGGCGGCGACTCCGTGGACCTCTGACCTGACTGGTCGGCTTAAGAGCCACTGGCGACACGGCCGCTTGTGAAGGCTAGGCACAAAGCCGACGCTAAGTGACCTGTCCCCCCGCAGTGTAAGCTGAGCGTGGAGGTGCGACGGGGGCCGCAGTTCAAGGCGACGGGTGTCGTGCGAAGCCGGGACCCTGGTCGGGAGCGATGTGCTGCGCGCGCTGTGTGTTTACAGTGCCGTGCTTTGCTTATCAGAGGGCCACCCCAGGTCCGGTGTCTGTTGCTCGCCTTCAGGGGTAATTTAGCTCACACTGTCCCTGTAATGTTGTGGGTAACTGGACAAGAGATGCAACTTCTTTCATGGACGGACTGACAGGTTCATTCAATTATTGTTTTAAGTAAGCGGAATTCCACGAGATGCCTTTAAAAGATGCGCGGTATGAGTTATATTTTCCCACTGGCTGGTGCCGTGCTTTTTAAAGAAACAAAGTTATGTGAGTGAGAGCCGAAGAAAATACTGAAATGAACATTATAAGTGAGACACTGTTAACAACGCCTCATTTTGAAATATATTGCTCATATACTTACCTATGCACTGTGCGTAGGCCTTCGGATTGTTTATCTAAAAATGATCGAATTGCATATTTTTTTCAATAATCACGGTAATTGTTGGATAGCTTAAGGCTGCTACATTGTTCAGATACTGCTTCAGGGGTGTAGTTTCCGATTCAGTTGGGGGGGGGGAGGGGTTAACTTCCAACTTGGGCTCCAGCCTCGCAACTTTGGGAAAAAATGGAGCAAATCACGGGAGACGCGGTTTGCTAGAGAATCTCGACGGAAGATTCCGTTATTTTTCACGGTTCCCCAACTCACTTTGGGAAACTGCGTCCCTGGAACGGCTCTATACACCCCACGCAAAACGGCTGCGAGGCGTCGTAGAAATCAATTCAGACATAAAGGAAAAAACATCTGCCCAATAAAGGCCTTAAGGGCTTATCGAGCTTGGCCTACCTCAAGTTCCTCATACATCCTCGAAACTTATCTTGCCTACCTGACTTGTCTGGAGTGATTTTTAAATGCTGCCAGAAAGGAGCTTCCTACAACTTTCCTTGACAGTCCATTCCAATGATTCACTGCTTTTTGACTACATGGAATCTGCCTCTTCATAATTCTACTCGTACCTTTTACTAAATGAAAATGGTTTCCTTAAGATCTCATTCGGATTTCCAGTGCTCCTTGTATATTTACCTGTGTATTCTTTTCATCATCTTGAATACCTCTATCAGATCCCTCTAAGTCTACGATATTTTAGTGAATATAAGTTCAAGGTTCTAAGCCTACCCTTACATTCTAAGTCGCCAATCTCATCTATCATCCTTGCTGCTTTTCGCTATACTCTTTCCAGCCTATCTATATCTTCTTGGGAGCATGGCACCAAGCATTTACACGGTACTCTATGCGTGGTCTGACATGCTAACTACAGCTTCTGACGACATTTCCCACTCTTATAATACAAATTTTTGTTGGTAAGCCCCAGCATCCAAGGTGCCCCGCTTCTTTCAGCCCCAGATTGCCTTTCATTCTTCAAATCCATTGGAAATTATAACCACTAAATCCTTTTCTTCTTCGCTCTGGTCTAACCCCCGGGCTCCATTTTTAACCTAACGCCCCGCACTGCCAAAACTACCGAAATGCGTCACCTTACCCCTCTCATAATTGAACGATATCTTCCACAGAGAGGCCGCTAGTTTTTCTAAATCAAATTAAATTTGGCTTACCTGGTCGGTATTTTTTGGCACCCTACCAATTTAACACCACCGCAAAACTATTGTGCACCTTACTCTCTAATCTTATCTTTATATTATCTTCAAAAAATAATGCAGAGCAAAAGGTCTCACACCGGCCCCTGTGGAGCCCCACTCTCTACCAGCTCCAAGCTGAGATTTGGTAGCATTGAGCACTATTCCTGCTTTCCTATCTAGCAGCTAAGCCCTTACCCAGCCAAGAATATTTCCCTCAATGACATGTAATTTTAACTGATATAACAGACGCTGGTGTGGCACGTCACCAAACACCTTACTTAAATACGCAGATAGGCCAGATGCAGTTCAATTTAAGCTATTGCCTTTATCTATCTGACCAGCACACGCTCCATGAACTCTTGAAGATTTGTCAAACAGGACCTACCAAAAAGGAAACCACTGGGACTACTATGTATCAACTAATGCGAATATAAGTGTGTCTGAATGGTAGCCTTAATGAATTTGTCTAATATCTTACATAGTAATGAAATTAGTCTGACAGGTTTGTAGTCGCTGACTCTTTTCTCTAAGATCTTACATAATAGTGAGATTAGACTGACAGGTCTGCAGTTGCTGACACCTTTTTGGTCCCTTCTCTAAATATCGGCACTACAATGGCATTGCGCCAGTCCTCGGGTACTTCTGAGAAACTCAATAACGTCTTCAATATCACAATAAGAGGATAAACTTAAGTACTGGCGGGTTTATGCAGCATTCCACCACGTACCTGACCCGGGCCGGCCGCCTTGTTAGCCCTGATTTCCTTCAAGCTGTCTCTTACCGCACCCTCGGTCACCGTCAAATCTGAGATTTCGCATTTTCCAGAGAGATCACGCAAAGTCTGCTGTGTAACAACTGAAAACTGCATGCCAAGAGCATTCATGATATACTGTTTCCCACTAATGACGTCCATCTGCTTTAATGGGCCTGACGGAGGATCCCATAGATTTGTATTTGTAGCTTCCTAAAACATCTTTTGATGTCGCCTGAGTAAGTGTCCGCTAGCCGTATTTCCGATATTCTTTAGGCTACCCTGATTACCGTCTTCTTCTTTCTATACCAATGTCATGTATTCGTGTTTGGACCCTTTCTCATGGTGTTCTTGCGTATTTATCCGTGAGCTTAAGATGTTAACTTGGCATCACATACTCTGCTATAGCACTGTTCCTTGGTTCGAGTTCGAGTACAAGTCTTGTTTTCGTAATAACTAGGAAGGATGTTTAAATGCATGCACTAGTTAGCAAAAATGGTAAATGACGTTTATTTTCTGATTCCCCTACCTGTTTGCTTGCTCGCGACGCCCAGTTTGCCCGGGGCAGGCTGCATGTGTCAACCACCAGCGGGCAGAGCGCCCCTGGAGGAGAGCCCCGTCCGAGCGCCCTGCCCACATCCCGCCGAGGGCCCGTGAGCAGGCAAGGCTCGGCGGTTGCCCCCCTCCCCTCCCCCGGCGCATGTACTCCTGCCACACCGTTATCTGTTTTTCTTCTTCCCGTATCCCTGAAATGATCATTTCTGGTCAAAAGGGCTTGATATATTTGATCTATGGCGATCGATTTAGGTTGAACGAGAGCTGTAGATCTTAATGAGAGGAGGGCTGCGAATTTCACCGAACGATCTTCAAGACAGCTATTTCAGTTTAAAACCCAATATAAATGTGGAACACTCCCCTTATATTCTGCCACACCATGGGCCATGCCGAATTCAAGGCCAAAAGACCGTAATCAACGGGCCGTTCAGATCTGGCGTTTGTGAGCACAATTTGCACAACTTGATCATCAATGCCACTGTCTCGCAATAAACATTGAACAGACTGTGCAAGTTTCAATAATGAGTCACGCTTGGTGCTACATAATGTAAGAAGTTGAACCTGGTTGCTAGTTATTTCGGAAATGAGGCCTGCCATCGAATAACTTAAGAATGGCGTCGTGATCAAAGATATAAATGCAAATAAACGTTGTGAAATCAAGCATGAATAGAAAAGAACATCTCGTGAAAGGACCAAAACACGAGCACATAACGATATTTGGCTCAGCAAACACTTGCCGCACCACCAAGGCTACCTCTCGGGATATCCAAGTGCTGCAGGTGAGTGCTATGGTGGCGATTACCTACGGCCATTTTGGCTGCACCTCAAAGCGGGGGAGTAGCTTTTTATTCAGTTGGGGGAGGAGGAGTATTCAGAGGTCTCCCTGCTGCCGCAGAGAGACTTCTCAGACTCACCTCGCTGCCGCGGGCAGTGCCTCGGTAGGGTCAAATCAAGGCGTCTCCTCAACTTGAAGAACAAAGTGGGCCACATGTAGGGACAAGCCTATTTGTTGTCATGCTTTGGCTGGTAGGTTGGCTCATTTTTTACTGTTCAGCCTCCAACCCATTTTGTGAGCCTACGCCAGTGGCTCAACGTTAAACCATCGTTCCATGACGTAATTAAGCAATGACGTATTGAGGAGCATATTTACTAAACAAAGAATTTGTATTGTCTACTTCAGTCTTCTGTACTTGAAAGTATACAGACAGTTGAAAGTGATCTTGTTATATCATATCTGATTCTCGTTTCGATATCTATAAATATTAAATTTTCTGAAAGCTTGTGTATGCAAGCAGCAAAATTGCCAATCTGTGCTCGTTATCCGTAAGCTTTCGCACACTCCTGTACGTTCTCTCCAAATTCCTTGCTCAAGTCCAGTCCTCGTCTGTGATAACGAGGCTGTCGCTGCCGCAGGGAGACCTCTCAGACTCACCTCGCTGCCGCGGACAACGCCACGGTAGGGTCGAATCAAAGCGATCGCGGCTGTGTGGATGCTGTGCCGGCAGGCACGTACATGCTATGCCGTCAGGCTGCTGTGTAACGCGGCGCAGCGTGGCAGCAGCCGGGCCTCTCCACAAGGTGCGTCGTTATAGTCAATATGGTACAAACTCGGTGTGAATTTTAATCAACCAATGACGTACAGGGGGGGGGGGGGGGGGAAGCTTCGCAACATACGCTTAGGCTGAGCATGAAAAGTCGCCAACCCTAACCGAAAAACGACAAAAATGACTTTCTCCCCGGATTTGACCCCTTTTCCTCTCGAAGTTAGTGGGGTGCCTCCCCGAACGGAATAGGAAACTACACACCTGTACACATCTTATATTCATCGCCTGATAACCACCATGATAAAAACGCGCCCGGGTGGCCGGTGAAATACCCTTAGCTCGGTTGTGGGCCAAATTGACCACTCTGATATCTCAGAAACTAGGACAGCGGGGACACCAAATTCACAGGGTGTGTTGGCCTGTATGTGAACTCCCTTATGTCGAAATTTTGCATTCTTTAGGTCATGAATTTTGGTCAAACGAGGTCAAAATTCAGACTTATGTCCAAAATGCCCCCAGAACCTGGCTACTTATTCTAAGCAAAAGGTCACCGGTAATCATTTAAGGTCAGTGACCTTGTTTAACCTTAACCCGGTCATGGTTACCAAAATCATACAATACTGCTTGGAGTTTTGCATTTGAGTATGTGTCAAAGATTACGATAGGTGGTACGCTCCTAAAAACAAAATTTGACCTATGTCATTTTAAGTTAGTAACCTATTCTGACCATTCCAGAGTTCATAGAGAATGTATTATGCGGTTTCTGTTATCAATAAATTCAAAATTAGCACCAGAAACTACCGCATACAGCAAGCTCTACAGTGATAAGGCAGGTTGTTTTTTTACCCTAGTCTGACCTCCATACCTGACCCTAGGTCAACGGAATTTGTTCATTCAAATGTTGTGTTGCCTGAGAAATTATCTCAGAAGTGTATGACTCCGTCCAACACCCCGTTATTGCATCAAATAAAACGGTTCCCTAGAAATTGTACTCGCTGAATCCATGGCCTGGTTTTGACGCACCGTAGGTCAGCGATCTTACAAGGCACATTGGCAGTTGTAATACTAAACGATCCGCCATTGAATTACTTACAGCATTGAAAGCTTAGCGTGACTACGTCGCGCCATTCGGAATTCATTCCGGCAAGATCTTAGGGTAGTCAAATTGGCCTCCTGAGCGCGTATTAACACGCGCTCGGGTGGGGGTCAAATTGACCCCCAAAGGTTTTTCCAAAATGATCTCCGAACGGCGCGGTGCGGCCGCGCCAAATTTTGCCTGTCTGTAGGCAATTAAATGTCAGATCGTTTGGCATCACAAATTTAGATTTACCTTGTAAGGTCGCTCAATTATGGCAGGTCAAAGCCAGGCCATGGTTTCAGCGAAGGCAATTTCTATGGAATCCTTCAATCTGATCCAACAACGGGGTGTTAGACGAAGCCATACATCTCTGAAATGTTTTCGTAGGCAACAAAACAGTTGATTGAGCAAATAAAATTGACCTAAGGCCAGATATAAAGGTCACACCAAGTTCAAAACCAACCTGTTTTGTTACTCTAGGGCTTGCTGTATGGGATAGTTTCTGGTGCTCATTTCGAGTTTATTGATAAGAGGAACCGCATTATACATCTCCCAGGAAATTCTTAGAGGTCAGAATAGGTCACTGACCTAAAATGACCCTGGTCAGCATTTTGTTTTCGGAACATATTTCCTATCGTAATCTTTGTCGCTTAGTCAAATGCAAAACTCAAAGCAATCTTTTATTGTTTTGGTCACGTTGACCTTCAAAAGGTCGAACAACCTCATTGATCTTGAATGAGAGTGTGGCATTTTGCTTAGAAACGGCTATCTAGGTTCTGGCGGCACTTTGAAGACCAACCTGGAACTTGACATTATTTGACCTTTTTTGACCCGAAGGTCATAACCTAGGAATCTGAAACTTTGACCTAAGTGACTTCACGTACAAGTAAATACACTCTATACATTTGGTGTCCCTAGCTTTCTTAGTTCCCGAGATCTCAGGGGGTCAAATTGACCCCCCTCCCCCCATCCGAGCGAAGGGTATCTAGCCGGCCACCCGGGCGCGTGTTAATGAAAGAACTGTATCGATGACGCTGCCGGAATCGATAGCGAATCACAGGACTACGCGTCACAGATCCATCCACATTACACATACGCACGAGTCATGCAAACGCTTGATTAATACAAACACCCACGGAACTGGGATCTACGGAATGCTGACGGTGGGATATGGGGCGTTTTGGTCCAATTTGTGATCGTAACATTTCATCGTGAGTCATACCCAGCATCGTGACATTGTTAACATATTCGCCATTTTTGCGAAGGATGGCGATATAAAGCTTAAAATTGTTCAAAAAACTTGTTAGTGCTTATTTTCTAACTGCACACGTTTGTCAGCGATTGTCGGCTAGGAGTGTTCACAGAGATTTAAGAACATGTTTGCAAAGACACATTATTTGATAAAACCGCGGTTAGCCGTCTGTAAGTAAGATCTGCTTTTAGAAGTGTGATGTCGGATCTTTTCCTTCCGAAACTTTGAACAACTTTTTAAAAACACTTGGCTTCTCTGACGCAGACGCGACAAAACAAACTCCCATGTCCTTGTTCATATGGGTGCAGCACTTAAGGCTTGCTTCTGGTACTTACAGAGCTTGTTTACAGCACATACAGAGCTTGCAGGGCTTACATACCTTAGCATAGATGAATGATCCTTGAATGAATGATCCTTAAATCCTACCTTGCTCCACACAGCGACGATGTAAAAAACAATGGCGGTACTAGCATCTAACGCGCTCGAGCAATTCACATTGCTGATTGCCAGATCTATCATTTTCCTGGAAGTTGGGTGAGCTGAAGGCATGGGCTGAAGACATGTCTGCATAAGAAGGGCCTCGTTTAAAGGGAGTTCTCCACATTTGTATGGGATTCTAAACTGAAATAGCCATCTTGAGGATCATTTGTGCAGCTCACAGCCCTGACCTTTGTAAGACCTAAATCATTCTAGTTTTTAAGCTACGCGAGGACTATCAAGCGGACTATCTCGGAGAGACTATTTCAAGGTCACCCAGCCATCCATAACGCTATAATAACTTCATTGAAACGCCGCTAAGCCATTGGCTATGTGACGATTAAGGCGAAGAATGTCATTGTCGGATCATTGATATCTAGCGTTCATGAATACCATTTTCAGATATAACGGCCGTCGATTGGCAAAGGCTGCTGCATGGTGATAATGGAGAGCCCAGCGAAGCGCCGTATATCTACCCCGTTATCAAACGACTACACCTTCTGTTTGATAAACACCAATGTGAAAGACGATTTTACAACTTTATTTTCTAGACTTTTGGGTGGAACTGGTGTGCGCTAGTCTATTCGTGTGTAATCCTGTCTTGACACCAGTGTACCTCAATTGGACGTCCAACATAGCGTGAGGGTTTTCCAGAAACCAGGTCACAGGTTATCGCACGTCCTTTTTTGTTTTGCACGAGTCCAGCTTCAGCTCCCATCTATCAGCAATGTTCCATCACTGGCTATACGGTTCCATCATGATAACTCAGTGTAGCTTGATGCCAACTAACCCTGCAACCCTCATTGGCGAGGCTCGTATTACTCGCCGTTCCGACTGAACGCCGCCGACGTCACCGCCAGCGGTCGAGCTCGGCGCGACCGGCGCGGGCGCGCACTCTACTCACCGACCACCACCATGATGCCCTCGCGGCCCATTCCACTCACCCACTCACCGACCACCACCATGATGCCGTCGCGGCCCACTCCACTCACCGACCACCACCATGATGCCGTCGCGGCCCACTCCACTCACCGACCACCACCATGATGCCGTCGCGGCTGACGGTGTCGAAGTTGGGCGCCTCGGCCGACACCTCGCACCGGTAGCTGCCCGTGCTGTGCATGTTGAGCTGCCTCAGCCGCACGCTGATGTCGTCAGAACCGTGCAGCTGCGGCAGGCGGGCGCGGCGCGTGACGGCATCACGGCGCGGCGCGTGACGGCGGCCCAGTTGCGATCCGTCACGGCCGCTCACCAGGCGGTCGCTGCTCGTCGGGGGTCAGTCGTGGCTCGTCACGGCTGTCACGGGGCATTCACGGGGAAGTAACGGCACCCGAGGTCATCAGTGATTATGTCCGGAAAGGGAAGAAGAGCTGGTGACACTGAGAAAACAATTTATGGTTTATGTATCATGGTCCATACTAGATGCGCTGCTTTTCAGCCAGTCAAACCGCCAATTTATTATCTGCAAGAACTCGCGAGCTTTTGGCTGGGTTATAGGTCAGACTTGGTGAGCTTTTGCGCGCTCAAAAATTTTAGCAGGCAAGATAATGTATTTTTACTATTTCTTTGGCTCAAAAATCATCTTAAAACCAACATGCGCTGCCAAACACAAAACAATCATGAAGCAAACACATTTTTATTTTTTACAGCACACGCACCATTGACAGAATACTCAAGTACTCATGGCAGACAGGACACGCCAGTAAACCAGGATGCCCAAGTTGAGTAGCTTTGAACAAACATCTCACTGAAAAATTAAAGAATGACAATTCAAATTTTCAAAAGCTGTAGCAGGATTTCATTGGGCGGCAGCTAGGTGGGTCTTCAATATCAAAAGCTACGCACTGCACTTGATTGTTTTTGCGAAGTTGTGGTGCACTCAACCTTTCTCGGTTTACGCAAAAACTACATCTCACAAATCACAATCAATATGCGTTATGGACACTGTGAGCCTTTCATTGCCCTAGCTTCCCTCATTTGCCAATACAGCCAATAGTTACTAGCGTATCAAATGCGCAACAGTCGTCAAAGCTGAAATGTGGTGGCATGGAGTTTGTTCATCTACTTCTGCAAAATATGCAATGTTCGACCACGAACACAGGGCACTTGCACCATGTAGTTTATCCTTTCTGCGACTGTTACTTTTTTAGCATATTTTCACGACTGTTTTCGTTTTGTCCAATCTGCTTCTTTGCTTCAGTGTTGTATCCTTGCGAAGTTTTGTGAAAAACATAATCTCAGCATACGACGTCAATGAGAAATTCGATAACGATCGAAAGTTGCAGTCTGCATGCTTTGCAAATTGAAGAAAAGGTTCATGAATTCTTTCACAAGGTTTGTTTGCTTTGATAGAAGTTTTTGTTCAGCACGCAACAATATGCCATGTTTTCATGGCGTTGAAAAATGTCAACTGTATCACTGGAGAACGAAAAGACTGCGGACAAACTATTATTGTCATCTTTGATTTTACGTGGCTTTCACGCGCAATCAAATATAACCGTGCGGTGATGGTTGTGGGCTGGAACGTGGATGGTGGTGGGAGAAAAATGTGAACCATTTCAAAGCTACCACGTAGAGCATATGTGGTGTGGTTGCTTGACATATCCATTTCAGGACAGCAAACACCATATAGAATGCTAGCTCTGGTTCTTCAATGAGAAATTTAACATTGTGGCAATTGTGACGCAGTCCATTGATGATTGTGCCTATGCGCGTTGTAATGAACCGACACTTTCTATTACTTGAAACGTCCAGCAGGTTTTACTCTTTCAGTGCAAAGTTATCAGTCTATGCATGGCAGTTTGGAAGAAAGAACCTCTGGTTTATTGAGATGGGGTAGAAAAGTGAAAACTTTTGGAGCATTTTGGTGAAAGGCAAATTTCATTCCAACCTTACTCCCTTCATTTGTACTCTCCAAATTCTATTGCAGTTTTTAAGATCCACTTTGGAGCATTATAAATTTCATTGTGCAGATACATTGATTGCTGCTCCCTGAGCGACATCACTGGTGTTAGCAAAACAGTGCTATGTATAAGGTTGCGCTTGCGAGCCATTTTATGCACGCTAATGTATAGGTCTAAAATTAAGGTAAAGTGATAAAATATTGCAACAAATTAGTAATTTTGGACTAATGGTCGACCAGCATTGTGGCATAGCTGGCTTTTGCGGGCTGGGTCACTAGCTAGACGTGGCGGGCTGGGCTGCGGGCTGATATTTTGGAGAAACTTATGCATCTAGTCCATACCGACAAAATTAAAAATTGGACCTGGGCCAGTCCATCTTATGAAGCCTGGTATAAACCAACTGCCTTTCAAATGCCACACCGCTTTTGAATCGCCCGTGCACAGATCGTAACACCGTATGTACAGCAAAAGGCCTAGATTGGTGAAAGCAAGGAAAGGCAACGCAGCTAAGCCCCCGATTTAGCGTTCTGCACGACCAACATTCGACAAAAATTAGGCAAAGCAGCCATACAAACGAAAAACCACAAAATAAGGGATGATAAAAGTGTGCCCCGGACTCGTTCGCGGGATGCAATACTCCATGGGACACATCGTGGAATACAGCACTCTGTGGAGCACACGTTTGTGCGCCCAGCTTCACCTGAAGAGTGGCGCTGGGGAGTAAGTGACGTAGTGCCGGTCTGAATACCGCCACCTCAATGAACGCTATGCGCGCAATATCAGGTCTCCGTTGGATCACATTGGTACCATTCAATGACGAAATTCCGCAGCAGTTTGAAACACTTTTCCCGTTTCCTCAGACGGAATGGCACTTTAATCAAGCGCAGATCAATTTCGATTATGCGCTTAGTCGGCGACAGCCGCTGCGGGCAATCCACGAGCAAGCATCCAAGCCACGCTTGCTCCGCACATCCGCACCTTGGCCACCGCCGGGGGCGCCGCCGGCAGCTTTCACAGGCCAGCACGTCGGCGGCCGCTCACGTGCGGCAGCTGACAGAGCGACCATGCTGCCAAGATGGACGGGACCGTGCGGCGTCAGCTTCCGTTGCGCCCGGGGCGGAAATACAGCACGCCCGCCCGCGCCGCGCGGCCACCTCGCGGCCAGGTGACAAATGAGCCGGGGCCGACACTTTTATAGGGGTCGAGCCTCAACACGACGGCCCTTGTGCGTGCACACGTCCCCTCAAGATAGTGGATTAAAACAAATCTGGTGTTGGGGGGATGGTGACCGGGTCGGTGGCAGTTATTGCGCACTGAAAACGTCTCACGGTGCACTGCAGAATGTTATACGGTCGGTGGCATTTATACGGCGCAAGCTAGCACAAAGGAATTCGCTAATTAATGAGTGGCTGTAGTGCGGCGCTGGACTGTGAGTTAGTAGAGCCAGGGGTGTGAAACATGGTCGTTCGTATTAAGCAGTCACTGGTGACTGCTGACCTGGTGCGCTCCACTGAGCCCACAACTGCTGTCGCAGGCTGATTATGGCCTAGACCTGGGTAAAGGTCAAACACGCTGGCGGGGGATGAAAACCCTGGGGTGCCGCCAGCCGGACATCGCTAAGCAGTATTGTTGGCTGTAGCTTGAGGAGATAGCTACCTCAACCACATTTGGCAAAAAACATAACCGTCATCAAGTCAGGAAGTCAAGTATCAACATGTACTTCCGCGGCCACAAACTACACATTAAGCCAGTTTCTCAAATCCGTCGTGTGACCTCTGTCGTAGCCGTGACGTAGATTTATGCGTCGCGTTGGCATGGCAACGACTACCGAACTATACGTAATGCTGACAGCCATGAACATGCATGTTGAGGTTCCAGCAGGTGCTACCCTAGCACAATTAACCAACGATAAAGAGAAAAGTAGGTTTTTACATACCTGGTTCAAAATCAAAGCAGTTACCTAGATTGAGATTCAGGACATAAATTTCTCTCCTGCAGTTATGACACTGAATGAAAAAACAACGCTGGTTAGCGAAAGAAGAATGCTGCCAGGAGTGCTTATGAAAACTAAAATAAGGTGGAAACAGCACTTCGTCCGCAAAAAAGGAAAAAAAAATGCGCAATGTATTTGTGCGCCGACTCGTCTATGGCGGTAAGGACCCCATACCACAGCAACACCATTTAGTCGCGTTGACAGTTGTGCGTTTTTTTTTTTTGGGGGGGGGGGGCTATCGACGCGCTACGTGTGTAAGTCTACGTGCTACATAAAAAGCAAAGTACCACGTCCTGTAGCTGTTAATGGACTTGCGCTGAACTGAAAGCGTGACTGGGTGGCAATGGTGTCCATAATTTATCGTTTGGTGGATGCAGCTATCTCTCATTAGCTCCACCAGTGACTAGCCCAACGTTAGAATGCTTTGTCCATAGAGAGAGCTTAAGCTTCAGTTTGCATAGCATGTGGGGAGAAGACACGTCAAGAGTAAGTACAGAACGTCCGTGCTCATCAAACATATGTTGGGGATTGAGGGTTGGGCAGTCATGCCTCAATTTTCAGACATTGAGAAAGGATGGGGATTAAACATGAACTGTCGCTGGACAATGAGAATAAGTCGCTCACTGATCTAAACGCAATTCGACGTCTGTGCCTATCGGGGGAAACGGGTTTTTACTACATAATTTTGACGTGTGCTAACTGTTGCTTGGTTATACAAAAATTGGATTTAGGTGTGCTTTCCGAATGAAGGACATTTTAGAGAAAAACCTTTGTTATGCTGAGCTAGTTTATTGGCATTTATTGCGCGCCATTCTGCCTTTACCCAGAACAGGCAGGTAGTAACACTGTCCATATCTCACTGGATTTTTCTGGGATGTGTCTCGCATGAACACGGTACGCAGTATGACAAGTGTTGTAACAACCACACAACTTCCTTTCAGGTGAGAAGTATTTTCACATTGTTTGCGAAGAAAGATGCTTGATCAGGCAGCTTTGCCATGTTTATTGGCCTTGCATGCCCCAGCCAAGGCTTCTTGTCCAAATGGCTGGACCGATCAGTATTTCTCGCCCACACTTGAGTGCCCTTCTTTGGTGCCTTTGACAACTGTTGCATGCTGTTTAGGCTCGCCACTTCAGCATTTCGCCTTACCATAATCAACAATGCTAAGGAGAGCAGCATCATATGCGACACAAACGTTTGCATTGACTGCACTGAAAAGTTCGCTAAGATTTTACCAAGTTTGTCGTAATCATAGGTTGCGTATTTTTGCATTGAGAAGCTGGACTGCACGATCATGCTCCAAAAAGGTGCGATTTGTGACAAAAATCTTCAGTAAAACTGACTAAAGGTTGTTGAACACAGGCCAGTGCTGCTAACGCGTCGCGCGCAGGCAGAGCACACGGTCGTGTCGGCCTACCGCAGGCACAACAGTGATCCGGGGGATAAGCTCACACTCAAGTTAGTCTAGTGGCCATGGAACAAGTTAAAGCGCATCATTGTTAAAGGTCAGCGTTGTAGCGCGCCGGTTAAATTAGACCTTATCTGCATTCAACAGACAAACATCCTCTCGCCTCAAGGATCTTTATGCGTGATATGAGCCTGCTTTGTTTGGTATATGGGTACATGGGCTTGTGATATGTGGTGCCGTATACGTGTAGGTATCCGTGTATATGGGGTGCTACCAGATGCGCGTCTCACATAGCTTGAGCTGTTCTCTGGAATCGGTTGGAATAACTAAGCAGTCCGCCGCACGCAGTCATATGAGGAGCAGGTAAGTCAAATGGCTACGAATCTTCTGGTCTATTGGCAGAACTGCTCTGTTCATGGCAAGCGCTGATATTGCCCGAGCACAACCGCTGCCAGCCTGCCCGTGCCGCAACAAGACAGGACCTTGATAACATGACGTCCCAAAACCTTACAGCCGGAAGTCTGGTCTCGTTGAATGCTCTAAAAATATTTGTGATCTGTTCTGGACAAGGAAAACATTGAAGAAGGCACATGGGAGACAATTTCGATTACACCAATACCTGTAGGCTGCAGCTAAACGGCTTTAAGAACATATTCTTTTGATATCAGTAAGATACACCGCTAAAGTAGCCGATTGCGTTACGTGCCTCCTAGCAATTTTCGTGTGCCATTCATAATTTTGCTAAGCTTAGATTAGGGAACAGCGTGAGGCTCGACGGCCGGCCAATCAGTTCTGTGCCGGCCAGCTACACTCGCGATTGGAGAGTGCTCAGTACAGGCCTGACTGTTCACGACTGGACAGCTCCCGGTACAGGCCTTACTGTTCACGACTGGGCAGCTCCCGGTACAGGCTTTACTGCTCACAACTGAAAGGCTCCCGGTATAGGCCTTACTGCTCACGACTGGACAGCTCCCGGTACAGGCCTTACTGCTCACAACTGAAAGGCTCCCGGTATAGGCCTTACTGCTCACGACTGGACAGCTCCCGGCACAGGCTTTACTGCTCACAACTGAAAGGCTCCCGGTATAGGCCTTACTGCTTACGACTGGACAGCTCCCGGTACAGGCTTTACTGTTCAATACGACTGGACGGCTCCCGGTACAGGCTTTACTGCTCACGGCTGAAAGGCTCCCGGTATAGGCCTTACTGCTCACGACTGGACAGCTCCCGGTACAAGTTTTACTGCTCACGACTGGACAGCTCCCGATACAGGCTTTACTGTTCACGACTGAAAGGCTCCCTGTACGGGCTTTACTGCTCACGGCTGGACAGCTCTCGATACAGGCTTTACTGCTCACGACTGGACAGCTCCTGGTACAAGCTTTACTACTCACGACTGGACAGCTCTAGATGCAGGCTTATCTGGGTAAATTGGGCATTAGCCAGCTAGTGCACCCGATCTCCGTGGGTGTCGTGCCAATCCGGATGTTATATGGCCAGCGCGGGAAACACAGCCCGCACCGGGCGCTGTCCAGTCATGAACAGTGAAGCCTGTACCGGGCGCTGTCCAGTCATGAACAGTGAAGCCTGTATCGGGCGCTGTCCAGTCATGAACACTGAAGCCTGTATCGGGCGCTGTCCAATCATGAACAGTGAAGCCTGTATCGGGCGCTGTCCAGTCATGAACAGTGAAGCCTGTATCGGGCGCTGTCCAGTCATGAACACTGAAGCCTGTATCGGGCGCTGTCCAGTCATGAACAGTGAAGCCTGTATCGGGCGCTGTCCAGTCATGAACAGTGAAGCCTGTATCGGGCGCTGTCCAGTCATGAACAGTGAAGCCTGTATCGGGCGCTGTCCAGTCATGAACAGTGAAGCCTGTATCGGGCGATGTCCAGCCATGAACAGTGAAGCCTGTATCGGGCGCTGTCCAGTCATGAACAGTGAAGCCTGTATGGGGCGCTGTCCAGTCATGAACAGTGAAGCCTGTATGGGGCGCTGTCCAGTCGTGAATAGTGAAGCCTGTATCGGGCGCTGTCCAGTCATGAACAGTGAAGCCTGTATCGGGCGCTGTCCAGTCATGAACAGTGAAGCCTGTATGGGGCGCTGTCCAGTCATGAACAGTGAAGCCTGTATCGGGCGCTGTCTAGTCATGAACAGTGAAGCCTATATCGGGAGCTGTACAGTCATGAACAGTGAAGCCTGTATCGGGAGCTATCCAGCCGTGAGCAGTAAAGCCCGTACAGGGAGCCTTTCAGTCGTGGACAGTAAAGCCTGTATCGGGAGCTGTCCAATCGTGAGCAGTAAAACTTGTACCGGGAGCTGTCCAGTCGTGAGCAGCAAAGCCTGTACCGGGAGCTGTCCAGTCGTAAACAGTGAAGCCTGTATCGGGAGCTGTCCAGTCGTGAGCAGTAAAGCCTGTACCGGGAGCTGTCCAGTCGTGAGCAGTAAAGCTTGTACCGGGAGTTGTCCAGCCATGAACAGTAAAGCCTGTACCGAGAGCTGTCTGTCAATTCAAGAAATAAGCTCCAGTACACGGATTTACCACACTCTCGCCAAGTAGCACAATGCCCACGTCGTGACACCCACATCCACAACAACACACAAGTCCACCAACATATTTCCGACGGCACGACGTCCATCCCAACATCTGCACCAATGTGTTAACATCCGCTTTCATCTCTACGCCTACATCCACGTGCATGCATACATTCACGTCCACTTCATCGAAACACACTGCGACGTCCACGTCCACGTCAAACTTACGTCCACGTCTATGCCGGGCATGTCGGAGTAGACGAGCCGCGCCGGTTGACTGCGCGGCATGTAGCGGTAGAACTCGACGTTGTCTTTGTACCACTTGACAGAGTACAGGCCCTGGCCCTTCCAGGTCGTAGTCACACAGCAGCGTGGTGCTCTCGCCCACCTGCTTGTACACGGGGATGTTGGCGGCCACCAGGCGCAGCGCCCAGCTCGCTGCAACGAAGCGGACCGTGGTGAAAGGGCAGCTCAGGACACGCACCGTCCGCCCTGGTGAGAGGGCAGCTGGGGATACGCACAGTCCGTCGCGGTGAGAGGGCAGATCGGGACACACTGCAGTACACCGTGGTGAGAGGGCAGCTCGGGACACGCACAGTCCGCTGGGCTGTAGCGAGGCGTCGGCGGACGTCACACTCCATCAAAGGTGTCACAGATTGATGAAAAACCGAGGCGGGGTGAATGTAGGTCAACGATGCGTAGCGGATGCAAAGATGCAGAGTGCTGTGAGTGCGGACAATAAGGTGAGCACTCGCTGGGCAAGACTTGACTGTAACATGTACGGACAACGTGCCTGTTGCCCGCGCAAGTCCGTGTCGTCACGTGTCCATTGAAAACCCGGGCTGCTATGTATTCAGACCATGAGCCAACCGCGTGCAGCGGAAAACCTCATTGCGATGTGTCCCGGAAACGTTGCAGTGGCCGGAAACGGTCACGTTGTAGTTTACTGCACTTTATAAAGCTACATGCGGCCGGATCTTTGTTCAGTTCGGGTTAAATGCAGCCCAAAGCCCTATAACAAGATGCAGCTGGATGGCAGAGCTTGCAAGATGCTTGAGGTTCAATGAAAAAAAAGATTATCAGAGAATCAGCTGCATTTTTTTAGTCTAGCTTAATTTTAGTGAAATGCTATGCAACAGCCAAAAGAAATTGACGGTGGAATATTGGCAAAATCTGACCCCGAAATTCTCGTAAAAGCGTGCTTTTCAGCCCTCAACATCATGAAGAGCCATCAGCACGCTACAATCCGAATTTACTCAATCTTTATTTTACATATGCCTGCAATATACCTACTGCAAGCTAAAGAAAAGCTGAAATATACTCATGGCAGATGCGGATTATCGACGGCTGGATGGTAACTGCACATGCGCAGGCATCAACGCCAGGAAATCGACACTATCTTGTTTTTTTCTGAAGCGCGCCGAACGGGATTTTGGCGAGGACCTCATCAGAAGTTCAGTATGTTCTTCAAATATTTATGAGGAAACATGGCGTTCAGACATTGTGTTAGAAATGCTTTCATTTGTGTGCGTTGTGCTCATGGAGTTTTTGGGTTATTTTGAATGATGTTCGAAAATATTCGAAATTAGTGTGCTGGCGTCCTGTTCTCGAATTGTCTGATGTTTAAAAGCGCATCAGCATGATAGCGATGGTAGGGAAAGCGCAGAAACATGACGGTGATGGAGAGGGAAGCGCAGAAACATGACGGCGATGGTAATGAAAGCGCACAGACATGACGACAATGACAATGAATGCGCAGAAACATGACGGCGATGACGATGAAAGTGTAGAAAATATGACGGTGATGGTGAGGGAAGCGCAGAAACATGACGACGATGGTGAGGAAAGAGCACTGCAGTAGCGTTGTTTTATGCAAATAATTGAGAGATAAACGGTAATTGCAAAGATTTCTGGGTCATTTGTACAGCATGCCACACTGAAGTTATGAGGTAGATCCAGGCACCTATCGGCCGCCCCTCCCCCCCCCCCCCCCTCCACAAACATCCAATGGCGCCCTAGCAGACAAGCAATATAGGCATGCAGACATTCGTATTTACACATAGGGATAACAATGTCTATCTTATAATTATTGATGATGTACATTAAAATCGGAGGGGGCCAACCATCAGAACTAGTCACACCCGTCAGAACTAGTAGAAATGTCCAAATACCGTTATTTTAGTCACAGAACGCGGCTCATGATTCGAACTGCATTTAAGGCGTCAAGCTAGCTGAAAACCAACTGCTGTCCGTTGGTGCGGCGTTTTGCGCTGGCGTGCTCCAGGCGCGAATAAGTCAATGACCATACTCTTCTTGAAATTAAACACAATGCGGCCATTGAGGAGGCGGAGCTCCTGTGACGTTGCTGTGACGTCATGCACTTCTGGACGACTTCAAATCAGGCGGCACGAAATAGTTTGCACCAGTTTGCTTGTCAATAGCTCAGAAACGAAACGGTTGAAAGTCTTTACGAAAAACATAGCTGTGAGATGCAGTGAATCATCTTGAAAATCAGTGTTTATCAGATAACTATGTAATTCAGACTCCAAAGCTGCACCATCTACCCTACTTCAGGAACTCGTGCGCAAGGAGACCTTCCCATCGATACCTGCTGCCTTTTCTAGACCGGTCCCAGGCTAAAAACCTCTTTTGAAAAAATTTTGGTGCCTGCCAACTGGACTCACATCAGTACCTAGGCATTCGTCGCGCTCAATATGTCCATACATGGGAAAACAACGCGGAAACCCATGACCAATAGTGAGACAACTGCAGTGAAGTGTCGCTGTCTGCCTGCACACAGCCATTTTCTCTGGGATTTTAAGTTCCTGTGTCGGGCAATAAGAGGAGCCTTGTCATCTATTTGCAACATTCATGCTATTTCAATTATCGAGTTAAGCTGTTTGTCATAGCCGAGCGTACTAGCCCCGTGGGCCGCTGTCGTGTCCAGCCTCTAGGCGCCCGTGTTTTCTCCGGCGATCCAGCGTCGACGGCCGGTGGGGAAGCAGGTCCGAGGCCTGATACAGGTCGTCTGTGGGATATCACGTGGTCGCACGCTGCGCCCCGGATAGCAGCTGGCCGCGTGCTCCCGAGGGATGTGCGGCAGGTAGACCAGTGACCACCTCACCGACCGAGTAGCAGACGGCGTTCAGGCTGATGGCGTGAGGAGGAAATAAACTAAAACGCAACATTTTGCACTTCGATGAGTCCAGACACATAATGCTTAGAGTCCCACTGGAGGGAACTGTCTTACACTTTTCGCTCACGTGTGCAAATGTTAACCATATATCGGATGAATGAAATGTTTCCGTTACATTTTGTAAATATGCTTCATAACTGCATGTTGTGATAACAATTCAATCAGGTGTATATGAATCAATTAAACAGTTATGATAACAGTTAATTACATTCGGATATATAAAGCTGCTGGTGGATTCCAGTTAAAGAACGCGACAGACAACACCAGATCACCGTCACCTGGACAGCAGCATCACTGCACTCAGGATTCCACCAGTGATGGTATCAGACGCCACTCCTAATGGGACGGAAGCACACTTGGTCACGCTAACGTAGCCACCCCGTAAAACAGCGATGGCCCACGGCACCAGCGTGGTTCGCGGAACGGCCGTCCGGCAGCGGTGGCGCCACCTGTGCAGGTCGTTTCGACGCCGCCGAATCGGCTGCATGCACGGGCCCAACAAAGGCGGCGCGGCACCCGAATGGTTCTACATCCATAACTCCTTACAGAAGGCGGATATATGTTTCAGATTTACGAGCGTGATGCCGGGAAAAGTGCCGTCTGCCGCACGTCGGCGACAAATGGCCGCGCCGAAAAACGGCCGCCGAAAATCCACCCGACCGCCCGAGCGCAGCTGCGTCACACGATTTCCGAATGTGTTTTGTCGTCCCATGTCAGCGACCCCGTGTTCTCCTTTCCGACGCTCGTTGTTATGTTGCATGCACTCGAACTTGCTGGACTTGAACGTCAACTTATCGTTAGATCAGTACACAACTGCTTGTCTTTTAAGAAGGTTTTGGAATTTTTATCCAGACTTTTATGTTTCTAACAAGAGTGGTATAAAACTGCTGATCAAGTCGAGAGCGTCGTCATTTCCCTTACGAAGCAAAAGGCTGAGTGCAGGGAATTGCGTTTATTCGAGATTTGGGAGGTAATCTTCCGCCAGAGGATTACACATTTTTTACCATGGTGGGTGAACTTGTCATTCTGTAACTATGTTGTGTGGCATTTACGGAGGCTGGGGACATAAGAAATGTATGTCTGCCCGTGATCTTCTGCTCTCTTTTATGTTACATTGGTCTCGAACCACATGCGATACAAAAGGGGTTTGCACATAGTGCATGTGTACATGTGCCGATGTGTAGTGAGTAATCGAGTGCAGTTGTGGTGCACGTGTAACACATGCACTACATCACCCTTCAGCCTGTATGTCCGTTTGTGAAACCTGAAAATGCAATGTGCACGAGACTGACATGGTGCGATTCCAAAATGACTTTGAATGTTGTAGGTAGCAGTTCTAAACCGCACAAAACTGTTACAGCTTGACGACAAATGGAATTACTAGTGCATGGTACCAATTTTGTCGTTTTACATAAATGGTATATAAACATCCAGATCATTTTGAGCCATTTAGTCAGTTTTGCACGTTTCGTAGCACAATTCAAAAACGAACGCAATTAGAGCCGTGAATCTATCGCTACAGCGTGCGTGGTGTTTTGAATACAAATCAGGCGGCCAGCCCCATGCTGTCCAGCTCACGGGTGCCGCAGAAATGAGCAGGAATGCCAGCCGTGCCATCAGTTTAAAATACACTGTGGTGTGTCGGTCATCATCAGGGCTTTTGTCGTTGTTTGGTTTGTAACGGTTCATTCCGTGTTCGACCCCCGCAGCGGAAATCTGCCTGGTTGAGTCGATGTGCATTGACCTGGAGCACACCGGTGTCCGTCAATCATTCGCAGGATGATTGCAAATTAATTGCTATTCGATCGGCATTGGGTACCAATGTCGACGAAATGGTTTTGGTTATTACCAAGATGAAGAGTGCCGACCATCGATCTGTAAGCTGCAATGAGGAGCCTCCTGGGTTCACGGACTGCGAGTGCTGACTGGGACCGCTTTTATTACAGCAGCCAGGTGTCGCCACTCAACGCCCGCCCCATGACTCTGCTGCTGTGTGTGGCCGGACACTGAATATGGACACTGGAGATCAATGATATACAAGGGTCATCTGACCACCAGAAATCAGCATCGCCACTCAACACAAATGTGAAGACGACGAGGAACCGAACGAGAGTTTACTCATGCGGGAGCACAACGTTTCAAGGCCGTCGACATTACGGCAGCACTGCTGGGGTCGTGCTTTGGCTCACGCGCGGTTTCTGTTCCTTTTGCCCTGAAGGCGCGCAACCGTGGTGACCCGTAC